GGAGCCTTACCAGTCAATTATTTACTTTATGACTCACTTGCATTATTGGTTGTAATTTGCCACACAAAACACAATCTGGAGTACATCACTTACTGGTCATGAAGATGCCAAGAGTCAGTAGTGACTCAGCAGGATATGAGAAATTTGCCTGCTATTTCTGTATGTGAGGAACTAAAAAAACAAATAAAAATAATATTGTCTTATTCAGACTAGTAGACTAAAGTTTGTGATTTTTAAATTATCCTTGGATGCTTTAAGGAAATTAGCTTTGTGGTACAGCATACTAATTTTATCAAAACTTTTTAATTGAAAAATGATATCTTACATATTTGAGATATATATATTTAATAATACAAAATTAGTTTTCATTGCTGAAGTAAACCATACTGATACATTTATTGTAAATGGAATGTCTAATCACAGTTTTAGGAAGTCTTTCTAATTTCCTTTATTTAGTTTATTCATATACCTCCATACTCCATATGGAGTCATGAATATCTATATATCTCTTTATTCATTCTGCCAAGCTCTTATTTGCTTGTGTGTCTCAGTAATATATCCCCAGTATATCACTAAAACTATTTTAATTAAAACTATATGCAAGAAAATTACATTTACTTTATCAGTGTCTGAATTTCCTCCTTTATTATAGGGAATAAATATAAACATTATATGAAATGCATGTAAGAATTGTTTTATATGATATACTTTAAACCAAAGGAAGGATAGTTTCTGTGCAATTTCATCTCATGGTTTTATTTGATGTATGCTGATCCTTGTGTAACACTTGTTGTACATAAAAATTAATATGTCTTTGTAAAAGATGGACAAGATACAGATATGTAATAATCACTCAACCATGCCTTCTGATGATGAGCTTCATTCAGACCAAAACAAGATGGAGAAAAGAGGGCTGTGGAAGGGGAGAGAAACCCCAAAACCTGTGCACAATATAAATAAGAGGATAGGAAATATGAAGTGGGAAAAAGTAGGTTTGTGTGCTATACCAAATGCTTTAATTGAAACACATAGATTATGTGCACACTGAAGTGGATTGGACAGTTGATTTTATCTAATTTTCTATCTTGTTTTCACAATATTTGATTTATCTGTTTTTATAACACTATGTGCCATATCTTTCTGCCCTGTTTATTGTTCAGATTCAGAGGGGAATAAACAGATAGAATGATCTCTAAGACACCATCTGTATCAAAATCTATCTTCTAATGAAGCAATTCAGAGGATGTTATTTGCTTGCTTTGCAGCAAATAGGTATTGTGTTGGTCTGTTGAAAATCAAATATAATAAATTACCCTAACCTAATAGTTCCTGGGTCAGTGTGAATATATTTTGAAATACCTGTACATTAACTTGTTTATAGGTTTAACAGAACATAAAATAAACAGAAGGGAATTCCCTTGTGATACAATTCTTAGACATAATTGCTAGGTATGCAAAATTGACTGTCAGCTAGAAATAGGGAAACATTTATCTAATTATAAAATACACAGGGATGCACACACTGGATGGGATCATGCAAGAGACATTCTGTATAGCAAGATTGATTGATAGGACAATCACTCCATTCTGCAGTTGAGCAACAGACCATTCACTAATACATAATTGAGATTAAAGCATACAGTCAATTAAAAACAACTACCAAAAGTATTCCTGTGGAACTGAGAGTCATAACTGAAAGTATTAAGAATAATAACAAGAAACCTACTTTCCCATCCAAGGCAGCTAAAACAATCCAACTTTCCTGACTTGATGAAATAGCCAGTTTTCCACCAGCTTCCTAAAAGGATCCAATTGAGTATCAGGTGACAACAGTCCAGAGAGCAGAGAGGGAGCCCTGATGAGACACAGAGAGCACAACCTACAACATCTTTTCGATTGGTTGATCAGGGAAAAGGCAGTTGCACAAATACTTAGGTACCAAATTATGAAAAGCCACCTTTGGAATTCTGGGAATTGAAATCCACAAGTCTTAAAGCTGTCAGTTTTGAAGACCCCTGCTCTACAACCTCCCTCCCTCCAAAGGGAGATTGGAGGCAGGTGAATAACTGTCCCTATATGTGGAGTAAACCTTGCTTTCTTAAGAAGGTGCCACTTGCAAAAACAGGGGGGAAAAAATCCTGTCTGCCCATTACAGTTCCTCTCCCAAGGATATATTCATTACTTTTCTGATGAATCTCCAATCACATCTCTGGAGGCTTTCATTAACCAGAATAGGCATGGATTTACCCTACAGGAATATTGCAGAGGATCTTGTCCACTTCAGAAATTACAAACTCATTTTATATAATACCACAATATGGATCTCGGTCATCTTCTGACATTGGAGCTGCTCAGCTGATCTCAAACTCTGAGTGGATCTGAGTGAATTCTTCCTCCAAATTTTTCAAACAGCAGTAGGACTTTTGTTTCCAAACTCTGTCCATGGTGCTGCAAACCATTTATACAGGATCACAATATAGAGTGAATGTATAGGATTGCAAATTGCAAACTCAAGATTAATCACAGTTTTGGCCTAGGAATGCCTTGAAAAGATTAGAGAGACAGTAAGGGTGTTGTGAACTGAGAAAGTTTGAGAAATTCATGCAACTATCAGTAGATCAGAAATAATACAATAACTAACTGTACCTGAATAGTTAACTGTGTTTCTGTTGGACAAGATGTCTTGGATAAATATACATTCATTTGTAATGCATGATATCTTCTTGATCTTATTATTTATTTATTCCATTTTACAAAGATTGCCTGTTTGATTGTTCACAGGCTAAACTGAAAACAAAAATAGAACCCTCGAACAAACAATGAAAACTTAAAACATTGGATTTGTTTATCAGCTGAAATAAATGCTAAAAGCCTACAATTTACTTTAGCTGCAACACCCAGCTGCAAATACATTTAACTAAAGTTAGATTGTCCAGATAGCATTGCTTTCAACAGATTTAATAATTTCAGAGCACACTGAATTGACAGTGATTGCATTTTTCCTCCAAGCAGCTCTGGAAAGCATAAATTGTTCATTTTATTTTTAACTTTATAGCAAACCTCTGAAATAAATTAAATCTGAGAGTTAATGAGAGGCCCAAGGTCATCCCGTGAGCTTCATGGAAACACCATGCTTTAAAATCTGAATTCACACAGTCCTAAGTAATACTTAGTCCGTGATAGTTTGCTAATTATGAATTGTATGTGGGTTGGATCATTGTCCTCAGACTTTTTCATTCACTGATAAGAACCAAAAGTCATTCCATTTAATTCACAGTGTTTATCTCAATTATCATTTAAAATTTAAATGATTGAATAATGAATTAGTTTGGAGATTCAGTCACAGGGATTTTGTCATTCAAATTGAAAGTCACTTAGGAAAGATACACAGGTATTTAAAAACTTCAAGAGGGAGTTTGAAATAGCTAAAATTTGGCAAGGAAAAGTTTCATTCCTTCCTTCTTTCCTATTGTATTTCTACACTTTCCAAATTTCATTTTCAGAAAAAATAGCCATGGAGTTGAGGACAGAATTAGCCTTGGAGTTGAGGATGGAAATACCATCAGGTTTTTTAAAAATAATCACGGTCTTCTTTAAAATATTATACTTTTGACAAAAGGGTTACCTCTTTTGATTATAATTTGATACAGTACTCTCATGTAAGCTTCTCAAAAAGAATTTATGCTTGTCATTGTTCGTAGTTGAAGTAAATGAGCAGCTTTCTTTTCACTAATACTTGGATGTATTATTGCTGCACAGAAAGATTTTTTACAAGAAATATTTTTAAAGACTTTAAGTTCAGGGCAAAAGAAACTAAATAATCTATAAAAAGTAGCCTCTGTGAAAATATTGGAGGCCTAATGCAATATTGTACATTTTAAAGTATTGCTCTTGATCTCCTCTGTTTCAAATATTCAAATAAAAGGAGTAGGTGTAAATTAGATTAAAAGAACAGACATTGAATACATTGATCAGTGTTAACAATAGCGAGAGAAATTAACAAAGAAGAAACAGATTCTAATACCTTAGAGATGCAGAACACAAAAGAGCCTCTTGTTACTCAAGGACCCGAAAGTGAAACCATTGTAAATTAGGTATTCATTAAAACACTAGATATCAAAGAACATGAAAAGCACTACCTCTGGGTATTTACTTTCGACTAGGTTTATTGGAAGTCTGCCACATTGTAACATTATTTCTAGAGATAATGTAGGATAAAGTTGCTGTTACAAGTAACTCAGTGCAGTCTCCTAGCTCAATTCCATCTCATCCAAACATCTGCCTGTTCCTGAACACCTATTGCAGTCCCCACACTGAAATAATTTATGTTTTTTTAGAGGCTGGGATCAAGATGGTTAGTGAATATGTCATTGAGACAATTAGCAGACTGATGTTAAACCAGTTGCAAATGCTAAAGAGGAGCTGGAGAAATATCAAAGAAAATTTGGCACTTTTACTTTAATAGCTGATTCTAAAACCACTTTTACTTTAATACCTGACTCTAAAACATGGCTAAAACTGATATTCCACTGCATAAAATTTATTTTTCTTATACAAGATATATTTTAAGAACACATAGGCTGCAATCTAGTACATGGTCAGCTCAGAATAATGCCTATTGATTTAATGAATTCTACTTTTGAATAAGCATGCCTAAGGTATGTTTATCAGTAAAGCTGGTATGTATACCAAACCAATTTCACAATAGTATAATACACGATCTTGAAAAATAATTTTGTACTAGAAATGTGCTAATTTTTTTAAATCAAATTATTCAGGTGTTTTTGAGATTAAGAATGAAATCAGAAACACGAAATGTTTAAAAACAATGAATGTTTGTCACTATTCTATATCATACATGAAACAAATAAATATTTATTTATAAATAAAATGAGTGAAACATTATAATATCGAAGTTCTGTTATTATTATATTCAGGTGAATGTAATATGAGTTTTCTAAGGGTGGTAATTTTTCTTTTGTGTTTTGTGTTTGTGTTAGATTTTCAGAAGATGCTGGCTAGTTTTCAAGAAAGCTTCAAGTAAAGGACCTCGAAGGCTAGAAAAATTTCCAGATGAGAAGGCAGCATATTTCAGAAATTTTCACAAGGTAAGTAGCAACTATATTAGGTAGAAAACTAAACCATTTTTGACACATTTGAAGTGGAAGCAACATTACTTGATGCTGTTGATATAGGCTCAGATACATGATTGCCTTCTTTCCATCCTTTCTGTAACCATGCACAATTAATTAATGATCAACTTTGTAATCTACACTAATTAACTGTAATTCAATATACAGTTTAAACACAAAATATAAGGGCATTTAAATATCTGAAGCCATTTTTTAAAGAGGTTAACAAAGAAACTTAAACACCTGCCTGGGGCTGAAAAGATTTTGAGAAAATTCATGTGTAAAAGTACCATAGTTTAAATATTGGGTGTTTGCTATCCACTGTCTGCCATTCAACAGATGGAAACTTTTCCTTCCATTTTTATATCATCAAAAGTACTGTAATTCATTCAGTATTCTCTTTAGCCTATGTTTGCTTAGAATTCTTTTAATATTTTAAGGCTGAGCTATGGTAATATATTATAGTGATTTTGAGCAAAAATCAGCAAATATAATTTATATAGTATAGCAGCTCAATAGAATTGAATGGCTGCATATTTGAGTAGACATTTTATAATAAACTTCCTATGACTTAAATATATTAGTGAGAGTGTTAGAATATAGCTTTTCTCTATTTCGATATGATAGCTTTTTCTGGGGTATGGTTCGTGGAAGCTGAAAGTTACCTAACAAAAATACTATCTGATCAACCATTTAAGACAGACTGAATGAAATGCCCACTTGGAATGAAGTAAAGAAGACATGACATAGAAGAAGGCATTTTACTTCTATGTGTACTGTCTACAAACATATATATTCTAATAAGTGTGCCAGAGTTTTAACATATCAGAGGAAAATTAAGGATCTACATTTATAAACTACATTATCTTTACATTTGTTCTGGCTTTTGGAAGTTATTTCCAAGAAAAAGTTACAAATTTTATAGATATACAAAAATGCTATATTTTGTTTAGACATTCAACTGTCATCTTCCTCCTAGAATTACATACTGAACTTGAAAGACATGGATTGTTTTGATGAGGGCATATATGTCACACAAATTAAAAAGTGACTCTAGGAAGTTTATTAAATAGCATTGCTTAGGGTTTTACTTTAAACTCTTTGAATTTTGAAAAAAGAAAGTTGGTAGAACTTCCTTAAACTTACAATGCTTGGCTTTCATTCAGAAAGAATATAGCTGAGATAAGATATTTCATCAAATCCCATTTTGAAAGGATTGCATAGATTTGTAACTATTACCAGGAATTGGGTAAAACTTCTTTCAATTTTTTATAAAATACATTTCTCATTGTCTTGGACTACTGCTTGCTGGAACTGAAAAAGAATCCAAATTAGCTTCAAGGACAAGTATGGGTACTCCTATTAAATATGATTCAAGGCTAGACTTTAATCTCAGCAGGTCAGTAGACATTTGTTAATTGTTACTTAATTTATAAATTTAATCTGTACTTCATATCCTGATTAAAAGGTGATGGTTGTTTCTCTAAGGATTTTATTGGTGTTTTTGTTAGGTAGTAATAAATTAAAGCCATGTTTTATTGAACCTTGAGTCCTGGTTTTTTTATGCCAGCAGATACATTTTTTAAAATGAAGCAATGTTGCTGACAGCAATATCAAGCAATATTGTTATGCTCGGTTGGCAAAGATTTTATTCCATGCCAAAGGCAAAAATAAAAATGCAGATCATTACCATGAAATATACGACAGATCCATTGTTTAGGACTTCTTCCTGGCATTGTGCCCACTATAGTCTTCTCAGTTTGTTTAGTAGCTGGCAACCATTCTGTACCTTAGAGTCTTTCTTTGGTCGCCTGCCACTGTGGTCTTTTTCCTAGGTCCTTCTTCCTGGAAATATTTGGTAGGTCTTACAGGTAGTCCTCAACTTACAACCATTTGTTTATGACTGTTCAAAGGTACAGTGGCACTAAAACAAATTGGTTCTCATATTTCTGACCCATGGTCTCCATCCCCATGGTCATGTGATAAAAATTTGGGCACTTGGCAACTGGCCTGTATTTATAATAGCTGCAGCATCTTGAACATGGCATCGCCATTTGTGATCTTCCCAGCTTTGCTTCTGACAAGCAAAGGCAATGTGAGAAGCCAGATTCTCTTAACCTATGATTCACCTTACAATTATAGTGATATGCTCAACAGCCACAGCAACAAAGTCACAAAATCAGGCATGACTCACTTAACAATCCTCTTCGCTTAACAATGGAAATTCTGCTCTTAATTGTGGTCCTAAGTGGAGGACTACTTGGACTCTCAGGGGTGTCTTAGTAGACTATAGCACCTCCATTGGTCTGCTGTAGGGCCTTTTTGATGGCTGTTCTATTGCCTTTCCTGATCTCTTAAAAAGAAAGTTCAGCTTCAAATTGAAAGAAAGCTCTATCCATGCCTTTGCCCCCTGTTTGGCTTTGGGGGAGTGTCTATCTTTGCATCTCTGTTACAGTTCTACAACTTTGCTATAGAATTTTGCTTTTTGTTTATGCAACTTCATCAGCATAGGAAGGTGGGATTGTTTAAAAGCAATAGAATTTTGGAGGGAGTTAACAAGATATTCCATTCCATTCTCAGCAAGATTCCTTTCTTTCATACAGTTCTAATTCCTATACCCATAGAATCTATTCTCCTAAAAAAAATTAATTCCTTTAATGTTCTCACAATGACATTGTTAAACAGAGTAGGGAAGGCATACAGAGCTTGGCGTTTGTTTGAATCTTTTCCAACCTTTTAGTAACAGTCATCGTCAGAGGTACTTGTATTGTCTTGTATGTAACAAGGTAGTGATATGACTGAAAATGAAGCTGCTACCAGTGCTCTGCACTGTGACTAAGCTTCTCCTCCTCCTTCTCTTTCTCCTTCTCCTCCCTCTCCCCGTCCTCCTTCTCCTCCTTTTCCTCTTCTTCCTCTCCTGCTCTTCCTCCTCCTCCTCTTTATTATCAACAACAACCTATTTTCAGACTTGAAACCTTCTTTTCCTGGCTTCTTTTCCCATTTCAAGTCTTATAAAAAGGGAGGGAGAGAGATATAGTGGAATAAAGAGCAAACTCTTTATTTAGTTGTACATTTAGAGAAGAAATGGAAGAGAACAAATTAGTTGAGGCTCTTTTTTTTAGGAAAAAGAAAGTGAATTTTCAGGTCTTAGATGGCAATGCCTAGTCAAACTTGTCAGAGCTCAGAAATTAAAAAAGGCAAATCCTGATGAGAATTTGGTTGGAAGACTACCAGTCTACTACTACTAATTAGAAGGCAAAGCTTAGAAACTGAAACAGGTAGTGTAATGTCAAAGCTCTTCTGTAGTATTGGCACAAAAAATGTTTTTGCAACAGCAGATATAACCCGTAGCTAACTTTGACTGATCTTAGAAACTGAGCAGAATTGGCCTTGTTGAATGGGGAACAACATGAGCATTCCATAATTGTTGGCTAAGCTGGGAAATTGAAAAAAAAATGCTAAAAAGAAGGCAATAAAGTGCTGCCAAGAAATACATATGGATATTGCCAGCAGAGGTTTAGGGCACCTTTACTTTTCATAGGCTGTTCGAATTTTGTTTTAATGCCATCAAATGTAGTCAGTCTTTTTTTTAACCCCAAAGCATCTGTTTGTTTAATATAATAACATTTTGGAGGATGGAATTTTTTTTAAATCTAAGGATAACTAATGATAGCAGCTCTTAAATCTGCTATTTTGTTTTATTTTTGTACAAAAAAAGATAGTACGATTTGCATTTGCATTCATTTACAAATGGAATACGTTGTTAAAATGTATTGGTGTTGAAATAATTAATGCACACATAATATATCTAAAACAAGTTTATTGCACTTGACAATTGTATTAATATAATTGTCAGCCAATATAATTCATTTAATTTGAAATAAGGTGAAAGTAGAAGCAATTTAAATTATTTTATTAAAACAAATTAGTGGCAATTTATAAGAAGTTACCTCAAACAAAATGAAATTTAAATAATTGTGCATTGTGAATTCTTTCTATTGCGTTCCTTAAATACCATGCTTATTCTTATCCTGAGAGACCTTGAGTGTTTTTATGGTGATTAATGTACCAGGAAGATAAGAAAGAAATGCTTTGGGAGCATAAGAATGTAATTGAGTTTCTAAATGTCCCACAGTCATGCAAAGGAATAGTGTATTAAATAGGAATCTGATTTGTGATGTGTGCCATGTGTTCAATTAATGTAGCTTGAAAAATAATGGTGGTTGCATATATACATATGGCATGATGGGTTTCTTCAATCAACAAATTAGGAAGCCCACCACACCTCATAGAACTACCACATGCTACCGAGGTGCTCATCTGGATATTATATAGTATGAATAATATTTACCTTAGAAAATTAGCATACTTGGACAAAACAACTGGAGTGATTTGATATTTTATAGGCTCTTTAATTCAAGCTGTCAGACTTCCCATCAGGACATGACTCAATTAATTCACAATCTTTTTTTGCCTGCAAAAATGAAATCCTATACAGAACAAATGAAAGGCTCTTTCCAATGCGTTTTTTTTTTTAAAGGATGTCTCTAGATAATTGAAATGCTTCAAAATAAATTCTAGACCAGGCCTGTAAATACAGCCCACCAAGCACCCTTGGAAAAAGCACAGACCTTTTGTTTGTTGTTGTTGTTTTTAAAGGGTAATAAAATCACCACTACTGCCCTGAAAGTCATATTGCCTAGTGCCTTACTTCCCATGACCACCCACTCCAACACTGTAGATGCCCCTCTAGTCACCAAATTGTTAATTAGCCCACCAGCATTCCTTTGCAGACCACAAAGATTTTAAAGTTATCAATGTGGACCTTTTCCCTCTACAAGTTGTGTTCTAGTTGTGTTCTTCAATCCTTATGTACCTTCCCCCCCCTTCTGTTTAATCCTGTCTGATTTTCAGAGTCTCTCTGGACAAAACCCTGCAGTTTCCTTGGAAATATTTTTCAGGAGTAGTTTGCCATT